GCTCAGCAGTTAAGAGCACTGGCTGCTCTTGCAGAAAACCCAGGTTTGAATACCAGTACCAACATGGCATATAGCAGCTAATAACCATCCATAACTCCAGTGCCAGGGGATCTGATGCCCTCTTCTCATCTCTGTGGGCACTGTACAACATAGGTGTACTTATATACATGCAGGAAATATACATAAAAATAAGAATAAATTTAAATTAAGACTTAAAGGTAAGGCATATTACCTCACAGCACTTGCAACTTGGTATTTATGCAGATGAAGAATTGGACTCTCTCATCAAGACAACTGCTTGTGGTAATTTCACCCTACACCTCTGAAAATCTGACTGGGAAGACAACAGAAGTCTGGGACGCCTTGACCAGTATCATCTTTGGACTCTACATTGTTTTCGGTGTTTTTTGGGGGGGAAGGGGGGAGTTGAGAAATGTTTTACATAGCCCAGACTGGCCTGGAACCGGCTATGAAAGCCCAATCTTTCTCCACTAAGTATTGAGATTATAGGTGCGGAGTCATCACACTCAGTGTTCTCAATATTTTTTAAAAAATATCTTATGTTTATGTGTATGAGAGTATTTCCTGCATGTATGTAAGTGCGCCTGTGTTGTGCATTGCCTGCAGAAGTCAGAAGAAGACGTCAGCTTCCCCTGGAGCTGGAGTTACAGTTGTTAGCTGCCATGTAGGTTCTGGGAATGGAACCTGAGTCCTCTGCAAGAACAGCAAGTGCTCTTAACCACTGAGCCATGTGTCTAGCCCCTCTCAATATTCTTAATGCTGTCCAGTGTTGGTGATTCTAGTAGAGTGTACCTCTGAAAACACAGTTTTGCCTTTTTATGATTCTACTTGAGCAAGCTGGAAGTTTAATTAGCTTTCCATCCAAGCAAATTTCTGCATTTAACTCTTAATCCTATTTAAGTATTAATGTGGTTTCAAAGAAACTTTATTCTGAAGTAATGGGTTTTGAGTTCACTGTTTTTTATTTACTTTTATGTGTATGAGAGTACTGCCTGCATGTATGTAAGTGCACCCATGTCGTGCAATGCCCGAGGAAGTCAAAAGAACCGAGGGCATCGAATCCTCCTGGAATTGGAGTTATGGACAGTTGTTGCTGAGAACTGAACTTGAGTCCTCCACAAGAGTAGCCAGTGCTCTTAACCATTGAGCTATGTCTCCAGCTCCCAAGTTTACACAAAACAGGTATGGAACTAGATTGGGGGTGAAATTTTAGTCATTTTAAAGATTTCTAATACTTTTGACTTGGTGACACAGCTTGGCTCTTCTAATATTTAAGTCCAAACATGCCTTCCATAAGAATTGTGACAAGTCAAACCATACATGTAAAATTATGAAAGATTTACTCCCATAAAAAAATACTGTTGGAGCCGGCCGGGCATGGTGGCACACGCCGCCTTTAATACCAGCACTCGGGAGGCAGAAGCAGGCGGATCTCTTTGAGTTCAAGTCCAGCCTGGTCTGCAAAGCAAGTTCCAGGCCAGCTGGGGCTACAGAGACCCTGTCTCAAAAAAAAAAAAAAAAAAAGACCAAAACAAACAAACAAAAAAAAAAACTTGATGGGCATGGAGGCTCAGACCTTTAATCCCAGCACTCAGGAGGCCTCTAGAAGAGATCAAGGTTGGCCTGATTTATGTATAGAGTTCCAGAGCAGTTGGGGCAACAAGGAGACCTTGTCTCAAAAAACCCAAACAAATAAAAACAAACAAAAAAACTCCAACGAAATGCTTTAGAAAAGTAAGTAGTGATAATGTATTGTAACATTTTTTGTTCTATATATAGAAGAATGGCAACACACTCTGTCTTGTTATATACTTTTTTTTTTTTTTTTTTTTTTTTTTTTTGACAAGGTCTCCCTGTAGTCCCAGCTGACCTGGAACTTGCTATGTAGACCAGGCTGGCCTCAAACTCACAGATTTACCTGCCTCTGCCTCCTAAGTGCTGGGATTAAAGGCATACAGCACCTTGCCAGGCTCTGTTTTATAATATACTTGTTCTAAAGAATATACTTGTTCTAAACGTTTGTGTACATGTGTGCAGAGGCCAGAGGTCAACCTTAAATGGGTGCTGTTCCTCAGGAGCTATCCACCTTGCTTTTTAGAGTTAGGGTCTCTCACTGGAACCTGGGGCTCACCAAGGAGGCTAGGGGCATAGTAAACCCCAGGAATCTGCCTGTCTCTGCCTCTTCCTAACGCTAAAATTACAAGCATTTGCCATCACACCTAGTTTTACATGGATGTTGGGACCAAACTCAGAGTCTGATGCTGACTGAACTATTCCCCTAGTCGTAAGGTGTTTCTGATGTTTATGTTTTCATCTGTGGCATTTATTTATTTATTTATTTTTACTTTTTTCATGAAGTGTAACATTAAATCAAGACGCTTGGTTTCTAAAAAAAAATTCCTAAAGATTCCACATTTTTGTGTATGTGTAAATTCATAAAATACATTCCTTAAACTAGCAATCTAAGGAGTTGGAGAGATGACTAAATGGTTAAGAGTACTGGCTGCTCTTGCAGAGATCCCAGGGTTTGGTTCCCAGCAACCACACTGCGGCTCACAACTGTAACTGCAGTATCAGGGGATCTGAAGCCATCTTCTGGCCTCCATGTACATTGCATGCATGGGTGCATTTACATACATGCAGGCAAAATACTCATACACATAAAATAAAAATAAAGAAAAAAATTTAAAAATCCAGGTGCGGCGGTGCAGGCCTTCAATTCTAGCACTCAAAAGGCAGAGGCAGACAGATCTCTGGAGAATAAAGCCAGCCTGATCTACATAGTGAGTTCCAGGCCAACTGGGGCTACAGAGACCCTGTCAAAACAGAGAAACAGTTGGGTGGGTGTAGCAGTGCAAGCCTTTAATCCCAGCAGGTGGATCTTTGTGAGTTCAAGGCTACCCTGGTCTTCTAGGCCAGGTGGGGCTAAGGGAGACCCTGTCTCAATAAGACAAAAAAAAGAAACAAAATTTTTTTTAAAAGATAATCTGAGTCAACAGTAGTGGCATACATCTGTTATCCCAACATTTGGGAGGCAGAGACAAGAGGGTCAGGAATTCAATGTCATCCTCATCTACACAGCCAGTTTCAGGCCAGCCTGGGACATATGAGATTCTGTCTCAAAAAAAAAAAATAATAATAATAAGGTAAATAAGTAAACAGACATTGAGCTTATCTTTCTGACAAATTCAGTAGTAAATTCTAATAATTCTAGTATTCACTTTCATCAAGCCCTTTGCTAAATTCATATATTCAAAAGAAATATAGTAAGTAGAGGCTTGAGGAATGGATCAGTGGATAAGAGTGTTTGCTATACAAGCATGAAAACCTGAGTTCAAATTCCTAGCCCCTACATAAAAAGACCAGGCATGGCAGCACATGTGTCTGGAACCATAGCATCAAAGGGGCGGAGATAAACTAATCCCAGGAAATCACCTACCAATCACCCTAGTCAAATGGTGAGCTTCAGGTTTGGGGGATCATCCCATCTCAAGGGAACAAGGCAGATCGTGATAGGGCACACAATCCAGTGCAAGCTACCCAATATTCTCTGACCCAACATAGGATGTACTACATGCACTACATACACATGAAATGTAAGAGGTAAAAAGAGAACAATTTTTTTTTAAATTTTATTTATTTTTATTTTATGTGTATGCATGTGTTACCTGCATGTAGGTAAGTGCACCCTGAGTCATGCAATGCCCATGGAGAATAGACGAGACTATCGATCCCCTGGAACTGGACTTACAGACAGTTGTTAGTTGCCATGTGGGTGCTGGGATTCGAACCCGGGTC